TGCATTAAATAGGAAAATAATTACTTGTGGCTCCAAATAAAAGAATAATGTAAAACTATACATCATAAGACATATCACCACTCATTAGTAATGTACGTATATTTCTTACGTTAACTATTCAACTGGCTTATCTGTACTTTGGATTAAGTGCAGGGACAAAGAGATGAAGTCAGTCTGGCTTTATCAACACCATTTCAGAGAAGCTTTCTTAAAGGAAGAGTTTATTTAAAGGAAATAAGCAAATAAACTCAAAGTCTCTCTGATTTGATAATCACCCCCAATCAGTCTCTTTAAATGGCAAGTCTGAGGGGTTTCAAAAGTCTGTGAAATCATTAGGTACTGCTAGGCATCCCCAGGCACATCATTTAGCTTCACTGTGTTCACTTCTCCATCCATAGAATTACAGATCTACAGCAGAACTAGAAGGGACAGAAAAGCCTTCTAATCCAACCCCATCATTGCAAAGATGAGAAAAGTGAAACTAGACAGGTTAAGGGACTTGCCCATACAACTAGTAAGTGTGAAAGGTAGGATTTGAACCCAGGTCCTTGGATGCCAAAGCCAGCATTTTTCCATTGTACTACACTGAGAACTGGGACAGCATCTGGACTGTCTCTGCCTCTGCCCCTGTCTCTCTCTCTGTTTCTCTCTGTCTGTCTGTCTCTCTCTCTCTCTCTCTCACACACACACACACACGGAATTGAGTCCTGAGTTCTGCCACTTCCTTTCTCTGGGCCTTAGCTTCCCATCTGCCGCATAATGGATTTAAACTAGATGTTTTCCATTGAAAATCCCTTTAAATTCTTTTGTGAGTAAAAGTGAATTTCCTTGATCTTTTAGTCACAGGATCAGAGAATTTAGAGCTAGAAACTTGATCCCTGGAGAACTGGAAGGGGGGATATTTCACAGAAAACAGTGTGGGATCAGATGAATGAAAAAGCACTTCTTAAGCATTTACTACATGCGAAGCATACAAACAGAAAAGCAAAATAAGTTGGGCCTGACTATCAGGGATCAATGTGTTGTCAAAGATTTTCTGGGGGAAGGGTATTAACCTATTTCAAGGAGCATAAGAGCTGAGTGAACTGAGCAGAACCAGGAAAATGTTGCACACAGTAACAGCCACATTGTGTGATGACTAATATTGATAGACTTAACCCTTCTCAGCAATACAAGGATCTAAGACATCTCCACAGGCCTCATGATGGAAAATGCTATCCACAAAGAAAAACAAACTACAGAGTCTGAATGCAGATCAAAGCATAATATTTGCTACTTTTTTTCTTCTGTCGTGTTTTGTTTCCTCTCTCACCAGAAAGGTGGTTCGTCCTATTGGTTCTAATTCTTACCTACAACATCACCAATGTGAAAATATGTTTAATAGGAATGTATATGTATAGCCTGCCGTCTTGGGAAGTGGAGAAGGAGGGAGAGAAAAATTTAAAACTCAAAAGCCTATAGAAGTGATTGTTCATAATTCAAAAGAAATTAATTAAAAATTAAAAAAACAAACAAACAAACAAAAAGGAGCATAAGAATTTAATTGCCCTAACAGTTAAGAAACCCAGAAGAACACTGGTTAATGGAACTGGTAGGCATTTTCTTTGGTTTGCTCAGAAAGGATTTTAGATCCTTGCTCCTTAAAGCCACCATTCCATCAGAGAGTTCATTCCCAACTTCTCTGAGGCTAGAGGCATTTCTAGACAACAGAAATCTGGGTGGATGGAAATGAGTTTTGTATACAATCTTCCCATCCAAATCTTTTTCATTTTAGTTACATAATTGAGTCCCTTGATTTCCTGGGACTAAGGAGAAGGGAAAAAAGGAAATGAGAGAATGAATTTTGATTCAAATACACTAGAGAGAAATCCTCCAATCTTGCAAATCACTTTTCTTGCTGTGACTGATTTCCTAGCATGATCAAGTGGCCTTAACTTCTGGGTTCCAGTCAGTTTTAATAACACTGAGCCCCTTTTCTCCCACTCTTCTCTATATGAGACAACAAATGGCTCAGCAACAAAATTAGGGACTTCACATTCACACCTGGATCTGGTATCAGAAGCAGGGGAGGGAGATTGGAGAGAGGGGACAGAGAAGGTACAGAATGAAGTTGACCCAAGATTCAATGAAAGGCACACTGCCACTCAGTGGCAGAACCTGGCCCAGAACTTGGGTCATCAGAGACTCTTCAGAAGATGAATAGGGGCAGGTAGGGGGTGCAGTGGACAGAGCACTGGCCCTGAAGTCAGAAGGACCTGAGTTCAAACCTGGCTTCAGACCAAACACTCGACACTTACTAGCTGTGTGACCCTGGGCAAGTCACTTAACCCCAGCTGCCCCCCCCCCAAAAAAGAAAAGATGAATAAAGGAGGACACTGCTTTAAGAATAAAATAATGCCTTACGCTTCTGGGGGAATGGCACTAAAAATGAAAAAAAACAGAATATCCTAATAGGTTATATATAAAGAGATAGAAGAGAAGGAAAAAATCTAGGGGAAAAAACTAGCCAGTAGACCCAGCCTCTAATGAATCAGGCTGGCCCTTATACCACAAATCCTCCTTCAGGGAACATGTCTTACTAAACATATATTTTATTTGGTGGCAAAGCAAAGGAGAAGGAAAGTAGGGAGGAAGCCACTTTGTCTCCAAGTTTTGAATTAACTCTAAATATTCTGATGTAGCACTACTTTCCCTTTCAATAGCAATTAAGATCCCAATACACTGCAAAAACAGAAAACTCAGTCAAATTCTTGTATTTTCAGTGCTACCTGACATGGCAATTAAGTTTTTAAAGTATGTAACAGAATTGGAATCTTGTACGTCAGCTTGGTCTTTGCCTAAACTAGTTTTACAAGGCTCTAGAACCTATATTGTGCAAAGTTCAAGATTTCCATGAAGTTATTTAGGTACCACATGTTCCTTGACTGTTCATACAAATATCAGTTTACATAACACAAAAAGAATAGCCACGTTAATTAATGAAGCATTTTAGGAGAAAAACACCATTATATCTTCAAAACTATGTTGTGTTTTGTTTTGTTTTTTAAAGACTCAGTACCGAAAAGATTTACACGCACTTAAAAATTAATAAAATGGGTAAAAAAAAAAAATAGGCGGAAGCTAAGGAAATCCAGTGTTCTAACACTACAGAACACAAAGGCAACTAAAAACTCCCAAAGATTATCCAGGAAGCTAGCACTCCTCCATATAAAGAAAGCGTGATGCAGGTTCATTTCATTTTCAATTCTGATATACTTACTTTGTGCCAGACAGAGCTTTAACAAATTCAGAAGACAGAAGAGATCTTGGGCACACTATGGTCCCATGTAAAAGTTCAGCTGAAAGAACCTGAGTTTCACTTCACCCTGAAGTGACTGAAGAACATGGTGAAATGCTCTAGTTTTACAACTAGAAGTAGTCCTTGGGATGTGGAGCAGACATTTTATCAGAACTGAAAGAGATTATTCCCTTTAACAAATTATATTTTTACAAAGGGCTTCCAGGGCAAAGGAAGATCTTGGTTTTTATTCCCTTCTGGTGTATACACAGAATATGTTTGCTCAGAATATGTTTAAAGGCAACTCAGTACTAGACTAAAAAGGTTATTAGAGTATGATAGGAAAAGATCACAAGAAGACTAAAAGAGGAGGCTAGTATGCCCTAGACAAGCCAGGCATTTCATAACTTCAAAATCATCTCTCTAATCATCCCTTTTTCTCCATTTCCACTAAAACTGCCTTAGGCCAGGGCTTCTTCAGATCACGATCAGACTCCCCTAGCAGCTTTGGGATCATGCTTCTAGCTTACAGGCTTCTCTCTACTCTACTCCATCTCACAGAGTGCTGCCAGATTCAGCTTCCTACAACAGTCATTTCATGTCACCAATCAATTCCAAAACCTCTATAATACCTTACTCCTTCCCTTCAGGATAGGGTCCCAAGTTCTCATTCTGGCATTCAAGACTTTCCGTCTTCTCATCTTCACCCTGCTACTACTCTTACCTCTACCGAGCATGAAACCTCAACTCCACAAGAGGCAATCTACTCTATTCCCCAAATACATTAGGCTCTTTCTGGATGCCAAGACTTCTCTTAATCTCTTCGCCCTTCCTTTCAACCTATTAAAATTCCACCAACTCCATGGTAAGAAGCAATAAACATGAAGAATTGGAAGAAATAAGGGTAGGCTTGTATGAACCAATACAGAGAGAACAAAACAGAATCAAGAGAAAAATAGATGCAATAACTGCAATAAAATATAAATGGAAACACTAAAATGCAATTCAACTTATGTTAAATGCAATGAACAATCTTGGTCACAGCAAATAGACACTGCGATACTTCCCTCCTCTCAATAAAGAGGAGAAGGACTAAGGGTATTGAACAGAGCATATGCTGTCACATCCAGTTACTTTGATCAGTTTGGTCTGGTTTGACTTTTTCTTTGTTACAAGGGAAGATTCAATGGTGGAGTGGGAAGGATATTGGCAAAAGGCTGTGACAAAAAAAAAAAAGACAAAAAAACCCCTTCACCTATTCTCCAAAGTTCAGTTCAAGATGTCTGGGAAGTATTCCCTGACTATTCCAGCCCATATTGATTCTTTTTTTTCTCAACTATCACGCTCATAGTCAATAACTATTTTGGTTTTGCATTCAGTTTACACCATACTTTATCATTACTCGCTTGTTTATATTTATGCCTTGTCTCCTTAGACTATATGTTTTAGAGTACTGAGACCTATTTCACATTTTTCTGGGATCTCCTTCAGGGCCTACCATAGACCTCTGAACATGAGTGCCCAAGAAATATTAGCTGAATGAACAAACAACTATACACATGTGCAAAGCTCTCAGAAATGCTACTTTTGTCTCTTCTACAACTGGGGACCAGAGTGGAACTAAACTTTCTCTTATCCAAACAGGTTAGCAAAATTAAAACATATCATTTTTTAATGGATTCAGAAACAGAAGATATAGACTCCTTTCAGTGCAGTTACTTACCGCTCTTCATTACTACATTCGACCAGACATTGGCATTCAAGGCTTGTATGATTCTCTTTACCCCCGTAGACTCTGGGAAGTCATCTAATTGAAGGAGAGAAAAACCACATTTTACTTAAATTATGTTATATGTATAACTAAAAAAGTTTTTATAACTACCTTATACATAGCAGGTGCCCAGCAAATGCTGAATACATAAGTAAATCTAATTGATACTTTGCACTGATTGTCAAGCAAATTTAGAGATTACTCCACTACGGACAAGACTATTCTGTAAACTAAACCCCATAAAGTGATTCACGTGGTACAGTCCTCTCTGTGGCAGCTAGGTGATCCAGTGAATAGACCACTGGATCTGGAGTCATGAAGACCTGAGCTCAAATCCGGTCTCAGACACTTATTAGCTCTGTGATCCTGGGCAAATCACTCATCCTGTCTGCCTCAATCCACTGGAGAAGGAAATGGCAAACTACTCCAGTATTTTTGACAAGAAAAACCCATGAACAGTATGGTCCACAGAATCACAAAGAGTCACACACAAATGACTGATATAATGGACAATGATATTCTATGCAAGACAGCTATCCCCAGGACTTCGAGACCTTTAGCTACTAACAGAAGCAATAATAAAAACTGTCTAGAGAGAGACTGAAGGGTCTTTGAAGGTAGGGACTCTGTCCTTTCCTCAGTGAGTAAACCCAAGCATCTAATATAGTGCAATGAATCCAGTAGGTTCTCAGAGAGATAAATGGTAACAATATAATAACTAACATTACATAGCATTTTAAGGCTGGCAGAGCACTTTACAAATGTTATCCCATTTTATCCTTACAATCACTTGGGAGGTATATTTTATCACCCCCATTTTACAGATGAGGCAACTGAGGTAGATAGGTTAAATGATTTGCCCAAGATCACACAGCTAGACAGTGTCTGAGGATGGATTCAAATTTGGGTCTTGCTGACTCCAGATGTAGCATTCTATCCACCATGCCACGTAGCTGGTCACTACTTAGTAATGGAAAGTGCTTAACTAAGTATTTTCTGATCAAAAAATAAAGATTTAATACGTGGCAAGTAAAGTCATTAGAACCTGTCATTGTAACAAAGAAACAAAAGGACACAATACACAAAAAATAGGACACTGAGGGATCCTCTTTTAAACAATGGGATAGTCATCACAGTCACATTTCATTAGGATGCTGTTAACTTTAAAACAAATTACATAGGGAAGCATTCCCTATTTTACAACAACTACTGGGAAAGCTGAAAAGCAATTTGGCAGAAATTAGGTTTCTAGGGGAATGGCTGAAAAACCTATGGCACAGAAATGTAAACTGACTACTACAACACCATAAGAAGTGACAAAGATGAGGAACTCAGAGAAACATGAGAAAATTTATATGAACCAATACAGGATAAAATGGAGCCCCAGAGAACATCCACACAACAAGAAGGACTTAAACAAAGAAGGTGAACTTGCAATAACCATCGTGACCAGCCATAGTCCCACAGAAAAGATAAGGAAATGCACATGATGTCCTGTAGGTAAAGACATGAGAGATGACAGACGTGGACCACTGCGCAGTTTGCCAGGTGTGGACATTGCGCCAGCTGGTTTAACTTAACTATTTTTTCTGTTATAACAGAAGGCTCATTTTGCATGTGTGCATGGGAAAACTAGGATGTAAAAACAACAGGCATCAATAAAGTATATCTTCAAGAAAAAAAAATATGATCTAGATAACAAATATAAAATAGCTAACTTAATGGAAATATTTGTACTTTCAGTGATTTATAATTTCATGATTATAGAAGGAAAAGACTAACATTTGAAAGCGTTCTCATGTGATTAAACACCCATATTCAAAAAGAGAAAACAGGAAGGGAGATCTCTAAAGGTATGGCATGCCATAGGGCCCAGTTACTGGCCCAACATTTTTACCAAAGCTTCAAATGAAAATAGGCTTATTGAATTTACATATGATACAAAACTAATTCTTTAGAAGAATTCAAAAATATCTTAAAAGGATGTAATAATAGGCACAAACCAAGAAGATGAAATGTAACAGGGATTAATGTAAAGATCTATAATTTAGGTTTGAAAAGAAGTAGCTGCTTAAGGATAGGCCAAGCAAGGCCTAACTTGACAGTAGTTCATGTGGAAAAAAAGAAAGGAAGTTAACACAGTTGCTGCTGCTAAGAAAGCTAATATAATCTGAGACTAAATCAATATTAATATTGTTCAGTTTAAAGTAGATAATAGGCCCACTGTACTCACTGATAGTCTGACCACATTTGAGATATTACATTCAGTGCCAGATACCATATTTTAAAAGACAGAACACATCCATAATGGTCAGGTTGCTAGAAATAATGTTTCAAGGAAACTGCTAATTAACTTTGGAGAAGAAAAAAATCCAATTCGGGTTACAGCAGGGTGGTTGGGCAGAGTATTACGAAGATCTTCAAATAGCTGATGGGCTGCCATTTGGAAGAGAAAAAAGACTTTTTTCTGTTCCAGAGCCAAAAATCAAGACCATTAAGAGGAAGCTAATTTCAGCCAAGACAAGGAAGAACTTTAACAAATAGCTGTCTAATAATGCAATGGCCTACCTCCCAAAGTTAAAAAGCGTTCAAACAAAGGCTCAATGGCTATCTTTTGGGAATGTTGTACAAAGGATTCCTATATTGGAAAGGAGGATGGACTAAACGACTTCTGAGATCCCTCTTAATGTTTTACTTCTATGAAGAAACTGGTTAATGTTTGAAAAATGTACAGAGTTGGAAAAGAATAAGACAGAACTACCTTTTCAAGAAAAAATGAGAATATATCTAGGTACCATGTTACTAGGAAGACAATAATGAAAAGTTTAAAAAGATCTTTTCCTGAAAAAGGGTATTTAGGATATCTCACAAAATATAAAACTTATATCTATTCACTGTAGCTGTGAAATTCATCAAATCCTAGCATTCAAGAAGCTAGAAGTTCAAAAGGATAGTGGCAAAAAATGACTTAGACTGGGGCAGCTAGGTGGTGCAGTGGATAGAGCACCGGCCTTGGAGTCAGGAGGACCTGAGTTCAAATCCAGCCTCAGACACTTGACACTTACTAGCTGTGTGACCCTGGGCAACTCACTTAATCCTGATCGCCTTACCAAAAAACAAACAAAAAAATGTCTTAGATTGACCATGCTGAGAAGTTTATGTAGGTCTGATAATATCCCCAGTTGACACACTGCAAATATTTCCAGTATTAGTTAAGTACTTTCAGACCTAGTGAATGAATAAACCAGGGGACCAATAAACCAGATGATTAGTAAAACAAAAACAGTAAAAGTCAGAAACAAAAAGCCATGCTGGTTTGAAAGCTGAGAACTGTTTGCACTATTAGGCAGTGGATTAGTATAGCCACAATAGACAAGGTATTTCAGCATGCTGTTGAAACTCTGAGGCTGTTTTATACCTCTTTCTGGAAATGTTTTGAGCAAGGTGGGAAGGCAGACAATACAACCACTTAAAACTCCAACGTCCTGGCTGGTCATTAGTCTCGATACTATTGCCTAATATAGATGCAATCTTAGCAACACAATTAAACCAACCCATCAAAGTCATCCTGTTAAAGAAGCTCCTCTTTTTAGGTTTATGTTACTAAAACTACATAGCTTTCTAAACACAATGGCTACCTATCTTGTCATTTCAGTTACATACGTGTTGGATGAACCAGAAAGTTAGGATCTGGTTTCCAACATTAGAATTGTTATTAATTTGAAGGTGATTGGGAGCTCAGAGCTTTAGGTAGAAACAGGGTATGGTATAAATGAATTGAAATTTTAAAAGAAAATATCATTTTAAAATAAGAGAAGACAAGTGTTGAGCCTTGAGGTTGGTGTGATAATAAAATTCTAACAGAAGAAACATTCACATTTTAATAACAGAACACATGTTCAGGGAGGTTTTAAAAAGGACAAAGAAGGTACTGTTTTATTTGTTAATCTCCATCTTCAATATTTTTTAGAATTTGAGAAAAATAGCCTAGATCTTTCACTTCAATTTTGTATTGCCACCATCTGACAACATATTTCTTCTCAAGGAGAGTAAATTTTGGAAAACATCATAAAATAAATTGGTGTACAGAGGGATTCTAGAAACACCTATTTTCATACCAACTTCCTAAGGAACCCTCATGAGGTCTGTCTGATCCCCTACATATTCCTCAGTCTGCTATTCAACATTCTCTATAACTTAGCCCCAGTACGCCTCTCCAACCTCATTTCTCATTGCTCCTCTAAAACAGCGACTATTCTAGCCAGACAGGTTTCTTTCCTGTCCCCTCCTCACCAGGACCATTTCTGTTCCTTCCCCTTTGTTCCCACTGCTCTTATCTATAATTCCCTTCTCCCCCCTGGCTCCAGTTAAGAACTACCTTTGTCTAAGTCCAGTACAACTTCGACCTCCACGGTGAAGCCTTATTAGACCCCTCAGGCCCTTTACTCCTCCAGTGCTTGTTATCCATACTACTCATCTGGCAGTTAGCACGTTACCCTAGTATCCCAGCTAAACTTATTACAAACTTGTTGGCACCTCTTCCTATCCCCAGCCGCTAGCACAGTATTTTATATACAGTTGGAACCCAAGAAATATTTTTGGATGATAATGAAAATACAGAGTCTAAATTCTGATGATACTGTAGTATGTGAAATCCTCCTTTGGATACTAGGAAGGGCCAATTTCCTACACTGTCCAAAACCTACATGCCCTTGCATCCATGGTTTTTCCTAAAATCTCCTTTAACCAGAGCTACCATCTCAGAGAAACCATGCTAAGTTTGCTTGGCTCTAAGAGATCCAAAAGAACAAATAAGTGTAAGTACGACAGTCCTAGGGTCACTTTAGGAATTCAGTCCTCAGCTGCTACAGGTTGAAATGAGGGGGTGGAGAGGAACCTCAGCTCAACAAAACCCATTATGAAGAGGCAGACTTTAGCATTTTTTGTAAAAAAGGGTAAGAAAGGGTCTACTCCATGAATTCAGCCTAAACAAGGGAACTTTTTGAAAATTATTGACAGTCAAGTGAATGAATTATTATTTATTCTAAGTCTTTCAAACAGGTTAAAAATGAAGAAAGCTTTCTGATTTTCATTGTGACTCTTGCCACATGAGAGAATGTATTTATATTCTCTCATGCCTACCTTACATTGCTGTTTTCTACTGAAGCAGATGTATATTATAACCACCTACCATCTTCCTCAGGTAATTCTTCTGGATTAAGTTCTACCAACTCAAAGCCATGTTGGATGCACCATTCTTGAGCTTTTGGTCGGTTTACACCTAAAGAAAGAAGTAAAAAATATGTGTATGAACATAAAACACTAAATGCCACCAAAGTACAGGCTTCTCTAATTTTCCTCCTTAATGACAAGTTTTAAAATAGGGAAATTACACATATATCTAGAGACAGAGATCTATATAGACATAAGTATATCTACATATATACAAATGAAACTAAAGATATCTGAATGAATGAAAATTTTTAAAAGGCTCATTTTCAAATAATTCATACTTTTCCAAAAAGCCTTTGGCTAGCTAAAAACTGTCAGAAATATAGAGCCTTCAATATACTATACAGCATTTTAATTTAAGGAAATGCTCATACTCTGCACACCAAGAAATTTGCAAACGTGTACCATTTTAGCATCTCACCATTTTCAGACACTCTGTCACAAACCAAGATCATCACCTCTGGAAGCCATTCTTCTGTCAATGGAAGCCATGATGAAACACTGTCAAGACCAGATTTCTTGGGGAAAATATCAAAAAGTACACATTAAAAGATGGTCTGTATCAAACCTGCTCCCATCCTGTCCCCACTAAAAAATATAAAGAACACCAAGTAAACCAACAAGGTCTCTTACAAGGACCATGAAAATACAAGTTCTTACTTGGGTGCTGTCAAAGCAAACAATGAAAGCCTGGACAGCCTCTGCAATTTCAGCTGTGACGAGGAATCTATTTGGCACCACACACAGATTGATGTCTGCAGAATAGTATTTGTTATCAATAGTCCAGGGGTAAAATCTCACACCATTGTTGGCAGGCGTATCTGCAGCAAGATCTTCTGTTCCAAGAATATCTGAAAAAAAAATTGTACAAAAATTAAAATGTAGATTGCAAAACCAATACAAATTATCACATTTAACTATTACAATTTACAAACTCACTGGATGTGGGATTAACCAAACTGATACTATGGTTGTGCTTTTTGTATGTGAATTCCAAAGGGGCTTAGATTTTAATGTATATTCCCAAGTATATCCATAGAATCTAAAATGGGAAAGGGCATTAGAGATCATCCAGGCTCAATGAGGATATTACAGCTGAGGAAAGTGGGACCAGAGAGAAATGCAGGGGCTAGTTCAAGTTCACACAGTTAATAAAGAGCGATGTCAGGCCATAAATTCAGGTTCCTTGTCTCTATGTCCAGTGCTCTTTTCACTATAGTGTGAGAAAATAATGAGTAATAATGGTGAGATGTTATCTAACTTAGTGACTTTTTCACCAACAAGTATTTACAGATGCAACAATAATGATGAACAGACTAGACAGTTGACAGGAGAAGTCTTATAAGCAGCCATCTGTTCACTCACCAGGGAGAACAGTGATTTATGCCAGGTGAATAGAAAAGAATGAACACTAATTTCATTCATTTTACTATCTGGGAACTTGATGGAAGAAGGAGGGCTGTAAAAATTCTGGTGATCTTGTATATGTTTTGACCTAATTAGCAAACTGCAGCAAATACAGGGTTGACAGTGAACTACTACTAAAATAGGTGATCTAGCCACGTTTCTTGGGCTAACTGCCTATACATATTTTAGCTAATTAAATATCAGATGCCATTTCATTTAGATTTATGTACATTCATAAGGTTTCTCTGAAAATAAAATTTTATTAAATTTTTGTTTCACAAAGATACTTTATATAAAATTTTAAATGTGCAATTGCTGACATAGTATAGCTCTGAGAAGATGGAATGAACATTTTCTAATATAACTAAATCCTCTTTCAGAAATACACAGGTGAGGAGGAAATAACTTTTATTGTGTTGCCCTCAGGGCAAGGAACCAAGCCTCAACATATACAGTGGTATGACTGATGAACAAATAAATACAGGTGTGGGTTATGGAACGCACAGAAACAGTCTATTTTACCACTAGCTGAATCATTAGAAAAGCTACAGTTATAAGATACTAATCTTGAAAAGACAAAGCACTCTTCATATGCACAATTTACAGGATATTTATAATCAGGACTTAAATTTTAAATCCTAGAGATAAGAAAATGCACTTAAAAACCCTCTAACATTTTGGTTGGTTCTCATAGTGTGAAAGGATTTGGGGAGAATGAGAAAGAGATGTTGACAATACATTCCAGAAGGGGGCAAGAAATACATCAAAAGTACATATTCTTTCATTTGCTACACTTGTCATGCTGGTCCATACCATTACCATAATAGGCTGCCTCAAAAATGACATCTCTTTGAAAGGACAAAAAAATAGACACTACAAAAAATATTCTATGAAATTATTACTAGTACATTTGTTTATCTTTTTTTTTTATTTCTAACATCATTGCTTTCTTTATTTTTGCTACTTAAAAGTATCATTCTCTTATTCTCAATCTCCACATATGTTGTCATCCTCTCTTCTATCTACTAAGAGTGTGACTAGGCTATGCTAAGATTTCACACAAGCCAGATTTTGGAGGGGGAATTGGGGTCGGGGGTTGGGTGATGGAGAAGGGATTAGGGAAGGAGTGTATGCCACATTCAGATTAATACCATATTGCCTTTATTATAAGGAAACGTCACCTTGCTCATGACAAAATCTCCTAAACTGTCAGTATGTCACGGAAACTACAACCTTTTCTTCTGAAACAATTCTATTTTGAATTTTACTCCCTCTTCTATTTTTTTACTCTTGGTTAAAGCCCCAGTATTCTCAAAGGGCTGCTATTTTTTTATTTGTTCTTCTCCAAATCCATGGCTATGGTTCCTATTACTATCAACAAAAGACTTACGCATACATTGAATTCTGAATGAATTTGGCCTTGCATCTTGAAGAAATGATCTGCTCCTTCTGCTTAATCTCCACCTGAAGTCATAATCTTTTATTTGGTGTCAATCAATTCCACAGCAACCAGCTGCAATGTCCCTCATGGTGGATTATGATAAGTTCAGGTGGGAAATAAGCAGTAGGAACAGATGAGTTATGAAAACCAAAGGTTCTGTTTTCATGTAAATGTCTCAGAGAAAAAAATCCCTGGATCAAAGTCTGTATTACACTCAATGTTAATTTTCCAAACCTCAAGCAGGTGGCATAGCAATATGTGGTTGTTTTTCTTAGAGATAACTACTGCACCGCTGACACACACTTCATAGTATATACATAGAGAAAGCAAATTGTCCTAGGTTGGGTTAAAAGAAAAGATCTTTTTTTTTTTTAAAAGACTCCCAAATGGAATTAATTTTCATCAGTGGGCAATTTTTTTCAATAACCACCTAACTTATTTGTTTGGCAAAACCACCTTTATTCTCAGCACTTAACGAAACCAGAAGTTCTCTATTTCTTGAGCTGGTACTTGATATGCATTAAGTCATTTTCTGGCAGTGTGTCCACATCATTCAGTAATTAGAACTAATATAATCACTCAAAAGTTCACAGTACTGCTCAATTTGGTATATTAGTTTAATATAGTTTTGGTCTGGAACTGTGATGGCATCACTACAGAGAATTCTCAATGTAGAAACTATCTCTACCAATTCAGATTTGCAACTTGTCTTTAACTTACAGTCTTGGAAAACTGATGGGAAGACTGAGAAATTAAGTGACAACTTCTGGTCATGTAGCTAATATGTGTCAGAAATTAGATTTGAACTTGGGTCTTCCTGACCCCAAGGTGATCCTCCATCCACTAAAATAAGTGATTTCTTGTACAACTTATTTTTGACTATTAATTTAAAAATGGTCCATTCTACTAATGACTTTTAGAGGACAGTTTGGCAGACGCATTTTTAAAATACAGGAGCTATAGAAATCTCATCGTGATTACACACACACACACACACACACACACACACACACACACACAAAGTGTTAGAAGAGTCTCTAGATAGATACATTAGATAAATACACAGATTCTCTGTAGAGGTCTAGTTATACTTGTAAACACACTTAGATGATGGTAAAGATAACAACTGGGAGAAGGAATCACAAAATATAGTTGTTTCTATTACACTGTACTGTCTAAAACATGCTGAAAGCTTAATTTACTAATTAGGTTTTATCTTAACATTTTCTTTCTAATAGAAACTTATAATAGTGAAGCTGCATATGGATTTTATGATCACATCTGTGCCGTATTAGGACTATGGAAAGAATAGTGAGAAGTATCTTATTTTACTTCTTGTTGCCTCCAAATATCATCAAGTATGGTTTAATTTAGCAAACATAAATGTCTATATTAAGAACAGTTTTTATTCCTCAGTCAACTTTGCTAACTGGTTCTGGGTATTTGTTTTCACCACTACCACAAAACTCTCTTATCCAATTAAAGTGATTCAAACATCCAGAAATAATCATGTAGACTCAGAAACAGAGAACCACAGCATCACAAATGTTAGGACTAGAAGAGATCCTCAGATATCTGTTAGTTCACCCTTCCTCATTTCTCAGATTATGAAACTATGGATAACAGAGTTTTAGTGACGGACCTAAGGTCACACCATTAATTAGTACAAAGAGAGGGTTAGAATCCCGGTTTTCAACTGTACTTTAAGTGAGAAAGGACCAGACCCTTCACAGCTGAACAAAATTTTAATAAAGATAACTATTAAAGTTAATCCAAAAGTAAGCCATGCCCTTCATGGTATTCAATGCACATCAAAATAGTAACCAGGATCAACACACCAGGACATGTGAACCTGCAGGCAAAATTACCAATCAGGGATCAGTCTTCCAAATTATACCTGTGGGTTTCTAGTGTTTACCTGTCTAAAATGAGTCATGTGTTTCTTAGGATTTTGACTAGACTTGCTAGAAAAACATGCCCTGGTCTCACTTTTGTATTACCCTAAATTAAATTTTGAATGGTTAACTCTGCTGTATACAACTAAAATTGAAGACATTTTCATGACCCTGAGCTACTGCAGCATTTTTTCCATAGTAGTACATCATTTCATCTCACACTGCTTGGCAGCCACCTAGTGAAAATAAGACACACACACACACACACACACACACACAAACACATGGAGAGATCTCTATGTACACACACACACACACGTGTGTGTATATATATATGTGTGTGTATGTTTTTTCTTTTTTATAAATGGACAAACATTGAGTAAATGCCAGTTGTCATAATTAACTTGGTCAATCTTACTGAAAACATTAGTCTACCATATAAAATAGTATGTAGCATAGTTAATAAAGAAATGATTTATTGTTATGGCTTTAGTAGAAAATATAGAACTTTTTCAAGTTTTCAAGTTTTATAAGGTCAAACAAAAATGATTTGGCCACATGTCATTTTCTAATCCAACCCTATATGCACCTACTCTATGTGCCAGGTCCTATGCTAGGCAAAGGGAATGTGAAAAGACAAAGTAAAAAAACAGCCCTTGTTCCCAAGAGCTAACGTTTTGCTCTTGCTAGGGCTGCAAGCTTCTTTCCTTTTAACTCCAATTTACTTTCTTATTTCCTGTTGACCCTAGGCAGACCCCAAATCCAGAAGACTAGAAAGGAAGATTAAATTGAGAACTGTATTGTAGCACATTGTTTCAGCTTACTCTCTAGAAACAACCATTGTTTTTAAAAAAGCTTGTTATCTTATGTCTTTTTATTACCTTCGTTTCTGAAAATATCCTGCCCAACTTCCCTACCCCTCAAAATCATCCCTTGTTAACAAAGAATAAAAACCATAAGGAGGAAAAAAAAGCAGTTCCGCAAAATTAAGCAATGCATCAATAAAGTCTCCTGGTACATTCAGTGCTACACAACTAGAGTCCCCCACCTCTGCAAAAAGAAAAAAAAGGGAGGTACATTTTTCACCTCTTCTCTTGGGCCAAGCTTG